CACACAAACATTTGGTAATTTTATATAGCAATGGAGTATTAATGACCTTTTAAGATGAAGCGGTACTTTAATTAGAAACATTTTAAATTTTAACAGTTTTATACCCTATATTGCATTGTTGTTGTTATTTTGTGTAATTGTCTTTCTAAGGATATCAAACATCCTAAAATTACGAGATCCATAATAAACTAAATATTAACTTTATATCCCACAAATGATGATTAGCTAGGTTTTACCAATTTTAAATGACATTCGTGAATTACTTAAGATATAGGAAATATTTCGGGAGACTATGAGTAAAATCAGTTTATTTAATTAATGTACCGTTTCACAGTTTTTCAACACCCTTATCCGACATATTTCTGCAAAGATAAAAAAGAACGCTATTTCGTTATGTTGTAGCCAGTTATGGGTTGCATATAAAAAAAATAACTCTTTATGTTATTAGAAAAAAGTTAATATTGAAAATTTATTGATACTGTTCGTCTATTCTCCAGTTGTAGTCATAATTTCCCCTTAAAAGTGTTAAATTTGACACTCCTTGACATCCTATATATATATAAGTTTTCTTATTCAAGAGAAATATTTCTTAATAGGCGAGACTTTTTAAAATTGTCAAGTATTTATTTCCTTTTATTATACAAGATATCCGGAACGTCCGAATATTTAAAGGGCGATCCTATAGAATAAAATATAAAATATAAAATAGGATACAAACTTCATTATTCTTCTTGATTGATTGAAAAACTGATTAGAATTTGTTGTCAATTAAACATGCAAGAAAATGAGTTTTAATATACAAAAAAAATTCAAGAGACAAAATTGCATCTTTAGTCGAGTTGGGAAAAAATTAAATTTGATAAAAAAGTCAGTGGTGTACTTTTTTTTGTAAAAAATATTCGATAGGGTGCCCATCAGGATCCCACTGCACTTTATAATTTTAATTAAATTTCTAAATGAGATTCTGGTGCCAACAAACAACAGTAACAAATTTCTATAAAATCGGTCTAGGGATATTTAAAATATTAATGAAAATCTCTTATTTTAAGTTTGACAAAGGTTGAAAGTTATGTATTTCAGGCCCCATTTTCATATGAAAAAAATTTCTTATTTTTTGGTGCGAAATTACCCTACCACAAATGTTAAATTTAAAATTAAAAAAATGCCTAACTAGTAAATGTAACATGAGAGTCAAATATATTATTTTGTGTTGTCAAACGAAGCCATCTTGGCCCGCTATGGTAAATAATTACGTATATAGTCGAGCTTTGGCTTTAAAGTTGTAGAAACTACTACCGCCGGGTTTATATGTCGATATTAAAATGCAAATTCAAATCTCGGATATCCATCCCCAACGGGGTCAGAGGATTTTATTATGATTTATCGGGTTGCTGTGTATAAAGTATGTGTTAAATTAAACCAAGATTAGTTTGCGGCCGAGCAATTAAACTTTGGCTATTACGGGATCTTGTTACTTAGTTTGATATAATTAACGTGAATGCCACCGCGCTTAGTGAAGATTTGCCAAATTTATTGTCGGCGTTCCGTCCAGATTGCAACTCGACAAACTGAACCGAGAAACTGCTGGGAGATACCGGTCAGCTTATTTTAGAGATATAAGTATTTTCCATTTCCAAATAGTGCGAAATAATTATGCATGTAAAACCATTCGCTCTCTCTTTCAATTTGCGACGTAAAAAGAAATTTTATTTTAACAAGTATTACATTATTTGTATGTAATATATTCACGCAGAGCTTCAGACTCTATTATAGGTAAAGAAATGGTAAATATAAAAGTTCTGTCGTGAGCTTCACTCGTGTACTACTTCTTACCATTCCACATTAGAACTTTCAGCTATTTTTACAATTACTTCTAAAAATACTGTCGTACTTTAAGGGTGTCACATTTATATTAAATTACCGGTGTGTAAACTAAAATCAAAAAGTAACGAACGTCTTATAGGCATCGAAATCAATATTTTCTCACAGAGAAATAAAAAAAAAACTTTTAAAACGGTACTTATTTTTGGCACGGGGTTTTCACTAGCGCTGCTGTCGCTATTCTATGTTTTGGAAGCTCTCTTTTTTATTTCTCTGTGATGTACATACTTCACCTGCATATACGAGGAACTTCTAGGGTAAGTTTCAAATCACTGTCAATCACATGCCAAATATTCCTTAAGTACCAAGGCAGAGAATGTTTTGTTGATTTGGACATTTTTTGTATGGGCTATATTCTAGAACTAGTGTGATAATTGCTGACTGCTATTTTCAATGTGTGAATCTAGGAAATGCATGCTTATTTTTAACCTAAAGTTTGTAAATTGCAATTCAATAATTGGAATGTAAGTTACATTTGCTCTATAGAACGTCAATTGTCGTTAGTCAATAAAACTAGTATCTCTGTCAAACGCGCGTTTTATTTTTGTAGTTGTTCGGAAGCTGCCTGCCATTCCCCCATCCTCGACACATATGCCGACAATACAGGAATTTATGAAGCAACTCTGAACAAAAATTCAGAAGGTCTAAATTTAAAATCTCGTTTTTAACCAATAACCTTGGGGCATTCAACAACCAATATGGCCGCTGACAGATCGTTATTAAGCTTTTGTGCGGCATTCTTACGGAAAATTTGCCTATATCTCCTTAAAGTTCTGGGAAAAAGTGTTAAGTGTGTGAAAATCGCTGTTTAGGAAGAAAATAGGACAAAGTGCAGGTCAGTGGGTGCACCACATTCTAAACGAAAATATCATTCCTGCGGACATCAATTTCATAATATGTGTAAAACAGGGGTGTTGAAAAAAAAATAGAGTGATAGGATTTTAATAATGATTCAGCAGCAGCATGTAAAAAAAAATGTGCAGTTTTTACTACTACAAAAACTTAGGCATATATAAGATGGAAGAATACGGCTCAAATATCCCCAGAATTTCTAGTTTATAATTGAAAATGTGCAGTTTTTCCTACTACAAAAACTTAGGCATATATAAGATGGAAGAATACGGCTCAAATATCCCCAGAATTTCTAGTTTATAATTGATGATGGATTGAAATGGTTAATAAAACATCAAAATACTAGGACTCATACTCATATTTTTTACTTAGTCCTTATTACCCACTTATATTAACAACGTCGATTTTTGATCATAGAGAAAAAGGTGCTTTTTAGCAATAGTGTTCAATTATTCCATAATAACTGCTTACTTTGAACTAAGGTTACGTTTTTATTCGTTTTTCATTCTCGATTTGAATGAATGAATGAAATGAAACATTCAATATATAAAAGAAATCACAGCAAATTGGTATTCAAAAACCCTGTTTTATTAATGGTGGGTAAACATATATTGATTCCCTTGAAGCCAAAAGAAAACACTCACATTTTTTTTTCAACATTTGTGTTAAGATCGTTACAAATTCACCATCGAAAATTGGTCGGTTCCCTCTCATGTCTCCAATCTATTTATTTTCCTTCTGAATATTTCCTCCATTTTCTTACTTGTGTTGTTTGCAAGCGTAACGTCTATCAGTTCTAGGGAAACAATTAATTATTTATTTCCCGGTTGTACTTTACCTGTCTAATAAAAGCTTCGCGAAAATCAAAATGGAATTTCATTTTGTCTTAAAAATTTAATGTCGACATTGAATGAGAAGCGATTCTAATAAGTAGGTCCCATGGCGATAGCTCTTTGTTTATTTATGAAGGTAAAACTCTGGTTTGCTTAAAATATTTGTTTGTAAAACATTTGTTCGCTTAGCTCTTAGGTGTGGTGACGCTCGTGACACTGTAACAGCCGCGTGATTTATGCACTGTAATTGCGAATGAAGATTAAATAATAAGTAAGACAAGGCAAGACAATTGGAGCTTAACAAAAAATTATACCCTTATAACAATTTTTGAAAGCTTTTGAATGGACCAGTCAATAGTTCCATAATTTTATCAATGGTGAGCACAACAAAAGGTTAACCACCAAACTCGGAGACTTTTTGAAATATCATCCGTTTCTTCTTCTTCAGCTGCCTATCCACTACTATTGGATGTTGGCGATCACATTTCCGTATGCTACCCTGTCCATTGCTGTATGTACAAGGTCCCCGATATTTTTCAAGCCAGTCCATTCCCTCAGGTTTCTAAGCCATGACATTTGTTTCCTTCCTACGCCACGCTTGCCCTCTATCTTACCCTCGACGATTAGCTGGAGAAGCCGATATTTTGGGTTCCCCATTATGTGTCCGAAATAGGCCGTTTTTCGTTTTTTTATGTGTAATAGAATTTCTCTGTCTCTGCCCATTTTTCTCAAAATTTCCTCGTTTGTAACCCTTTCGACCCATGATACTCTCAGCATACGGCGGTAAGTCCACATCTCAAACGCTTCTAATCTATTAATTGATGTTGTTTTGAGCGTCCATGTTTCCATACCATATAATAGAACGGACCATATATAGCACTCGACGTTTCGTCCTCTTAGGTTCAGGCTTGTGTCTCTGTTGGTAAGTATATGTTTAAATTTGAGAAAATAGCTCCGGGCTATTTCTATTCTGGCTTTGATTTCTTTGTCGTTGTCCCAATCGTCATACAGCCAACTACCCAAGTATCTATATTTCTTGACTCGTTCCAAAGCCATTCCATCGACGACGAGTTGCGCATTCACATAAGGCACCCTGTCCCTACTGATTATCATAAACTTTGTTTTATTACTATTTATGTTTAGTCCATAGTTTTTACTGGCGTCGTTTAGTAGAGTAATCAGTTGTTGTATCGCTTTACGAATTTCCTCTTTTGTTATCGGTGGTCCACTCAACGATTCACCCGCGGGGTTAATTTCGAGGTCCGTTCTCTCACTGTATTGGAATAGTTTTCTTATGTATGTATGTATTTTTGTCGTTGACTAGAACTATTGGTGCCTTGGTTTTATATATTCCAGCTACCTCCTTTAGCTTTTTATGTTCGCTATGAGTATCATGTATCTGTTGGAGTCTCTCTATTTCTTGGCATTCTTGTTCTAGCCACTTTCTTTTAGCTTTTCTGATTTCAGATCTAATTCTAGAATTTAAAAGACTATATTGATCAGGGTTTACATTTTTATGTTTACGTCTCTCGTCCATCAGTCGTAGAATTTCCTCTGTCATCCATTTGTTCTTAGGAACAGACTGACGGTATCCTAGTATGTTCTGAGAAACAGAGTTCATGGTTTTCTTCAAGCTATCCCATATATTGTCGACTTGATATTCTCCAATCGTCTCTTGCAGTCTCGCCAGTCCATCATTTAATTTTTGTTGCAGAGTCGTCCTTACTTCTTCGTTTTTTAGTTTTTCAATAGCTAACTGAGGTTTTCGTTGCTGTCTTTTAACAAGTGAAAGCTTTACTTTATAGGAAGCCAAAAGAAGAACGTGATCGGATGGCACGTCGGCGCCCGGGTATGTACAGACTCGCTTGAGTGATGTGCCAAATCTCCTGTTTATCAGTATAAAATCGATTTGATTTCTAACGATGTTATCTTTATTATCCTGAGGTGATCTCCATGTATAAAGTCTTCTAGGGGGTAACGAAAACCAAGTGTTTGTTATTTTAAAGTTCTCTTCTTGGCAAAATTGTACCAGTCGATCTCCCCTATGGTTTCTATCACCCAATCCATATGGACCGACAATTTGGTCTGCTTGTAAAGAACCGATCTTCGCATTGAAATCGCCTTGTATTATATTGATTTCGTGTGGCTTGGTTAACCCTAGAAGTTCCTTGATCTCGCCATAAAATTTGTCCACTTCGTCATCGCCTCTATCGAGAGTTGGGGCGTACACTTGAATTATGTTGATGTTAAGCGGCTTTGTTCGAATTTTTAATAACATTGTTCTGTCTGAGTACGGAACAAAGTCAGTAACACTTCCAGCTATTTCTTTGGTGACTATGACCCCTACACCTCTTCTGTGGTCCCTGTCATTGTTACCTGAGTAGTAAAATCTTTTGTTTTCCGTGTTACATTCTCCTGCTCCTGGCCACCAGGTTTCGCTTATTCCTAGGATGGATATCTTCAATCTGTCCATTTCATGTATTGTGTTGGCTAGTTTCCCAGCCTCGTACATACTCTGGACATTCCATGTCCCTATGTTTAAAACATCTTTACAAATATTTTTGACTCCGGGGATTCTTAGCACCCTCGTTTTGCCGGAGACTGAGGGCCGATTTTTTGTGGTTTCTTCCATGTGATTTTCTTGGGATAAATACTTCAGTGGTTTCCCGTTGCCTTCTGAAGGTAATTTTTAATCAAGGTTGTCTTCCTTTAGGCTGACTGTCTTACTGGACTTGCGAGAAGCCTTCCCTTGAAGATTGTTCTTCCGCCTTCCGGACCATTGGAAATAAATATTTTGCTGAATACAATTTAGAGTAATACATATTTAGCTTACTAATACAATGATTACAAAGTAACAACTATGCATGCAATGTTTTAAGGGTAAATACCAAAATTTCATTTTGGTTTTTTGATTGTCCTAAAAAATTATGCTTTTTGCAATTCGGTCCTGTTCTGTCGGAGCAGAGATATAATGATGTGTTTTATAGTATTTAGAAAAGTGTTTCTAAAATGTTTCTAAATTGATGAGAAATATTTTGAAAGTAACAGTAAACGTTAAGCTAGGTCTTTCTAATAATTTTTTAATCGGAACCACCAAAATGTATTAAACATATAATACCACCTTTGAAAATTTTGGGCAGAAAGTTTGGCTAATATTGTTATTACAAGAAGTGAACTGCTAATTATTTGATTCAGAACAAACTGCGTAATCTCATATTTAAAAAAAAAGGTAGTTTAATCATCCGTTTAAATATATCCAATTAAAAAATTGTAAACATTTCGCCGAAATCTAACTTAGCATTTTCAATACTTTAGTTTCTAAATAAAATTAAACACTACCTGAAAACATAACACACCTCTTACAAAACTTATTTGATTACAGGTAACTATAAACTCTTTGCTATGTTAGGAGTAATGTCTTTTTATTGCTTACATATATTTAATTTACTGGTATATGACAGGTAAAATGGTGAAAAACTTTAAGTAAACCGGAGATTAGTAATAGCTATAAATGTGCCCTTCGGTTCGGCCAAACTGCCGTTGTATTTTAAGATAATCGAATTTGCATAATCATTTTAATTCTTTTTAAATCTACTTTAGGATTTTTTGAGCCCAGAACCTGACCTCATTGCTTCTTCCCTTCTTCGTATATTCTTTTATATAATTTACTCTGTTCTGTTTGTTAATATTTGTATGACTTTTTATGTTAACATTGCACTTGCGTGTGCAATTTTTTTTTATGTTATCTGACACTTATATATTTATGGCAATATATGTATGTTTATTTCGATGTCTAACTAATGGCCCTATCCGTATGCCTCTTCGATCATCATACTACATATTTGAAATAGGTTGTGACTAAAAGGCGATAAAATATTATAAATAATTTCCAGCAAAGCATCACAATACATAATAGAATTGCGAGACTACTAGGAGTATTTACAAGGGGGCTCAGAATTGTTTGGAGTTTTTAGCACTCAATTTAAATATTACTGTTTTTTCGAAGTTTACAATTTGTATAAATTATACTCTTTTACTTCATGAATATTCATTTTACTACATTATCGTAAGCAAAGCTCCGACTACTAAGAGATTTTCAGTTTCTACTTGATAATGGTCCGTGATAAAACTGACCCAAAGGTTGTATAACTGTTCATTTAATAAACGCAATAGAAGTTCAAATCTTGACCTGACTTTGTCATTTTGATTTAGAATATGTAACTAAGTAATACATAAGCTCAGATCTTAATTTACAAACACCTCTAAGAAGTTCGTTAAATGTGAAAAATGGTTTATCAAGCACGAAAGTTTTATCTTTTCTGTTGAACATTAATTGAATCAGTCCTTACCGACAGTAGATGAAGTCATTTCTGTTAAGGTAAATTCTCTAAAAATGAACCATTTCATGTATTTCTAACATTCTACACATAGAAAGTTATAGACTATTTTTTGTTCGTTTACATTCACCTCAAATAATTCACGTTCGCCTGGCGCCATAAAATCTGCTCACGATTTACCGCGGTACGTGTATATTAGAAAAATGAAAAATGATATCAGATAATGAATGCATAACGCTTGATGAAGCCGGCAACTGCACTATGAGGGGGTTATTTTCCTTAACAATGCATCTAAGCCGGAGTAGCTGCCTGTCACGATATTCATCGCTATATTACATTTTCTTTCTATTGACGAAAATCCATTATAATAGGAGCCATCTGTCTTGATACAATGGCAACACTTAACAATTACCCGAAATCTCCCCAATTAGTAGTCATTATTTGTGGCACTCCCTTAATTGCGAACTACCACGAAGGCAGGGGCGTAGTAGTAGGGTAGTTGGTTAGTTGGTGATGGGGAAGAACACAGTTTACGAAACCACCACCTAATTCTTAATCCTCTCCCTTGTTCTCTGTTTGATCCCTCATAAATCCATCTTGGGTTGTATTGCAAATAATAGTAATTATTGCAACACTACGAGAAGTATTATCAACATTTTTATGAGATTTATCCAATTAATTAAAACACCTTCTAAAATTTAAAGATATTTTGGTTCTGTGAAATTTGGGGGAGCTGAACTTGATCGGTTTATTTGTTAATTGTAGATTGGACTGAGTTGGAATTATTTCTTTGAGAAGTAAATAATCCGGTTCAACATCAGATATTTTATATTAAGCAAATTATTTTTATAAAATATTTAATTTATGAGGTTCCAATGAGAGCATAAAATAATTTTATAATGATATCTGTGCTTATGCAACTAAAGAGGGTGCTCTACACAAAAGTTATCTAAAATAGTATATTATCGAGCAAGGATGGATAACAAAGGACATTTTAGTGACGAGTTTGTTTTGGCGGAGCGACTGTTTAATAAACGAGGGTCATTAGTTACATTCCTACAAAACGAATATATTGATTAATCAGCACTGAAAAAATTTAAACCGGAAGCAAACGTGACTGGAAACGTCCGAAGATGACGTCTTAAAGTGACATTTTCCGCAGTTCGGATTAGTGCATATTTGGGTACTTAAGGAGTAGAAAAAATAATTTTAGCTCATAAGTTGAGCGTTCACTTTTTGCATGAAACGTGAATCGTACAGATTTATAATGTATTAATTTTTTATCGATTCGTTATATAAGAATCGTCCAAGATCTGAAAAAGATATATATTTTTCGACTTCTACCAAACGCTTTTTAATTAAATCAAATAATTATTTCAGTCGCCAAGATATGGGGTTATAGACTTTTAAATGGAAGTCACTTTACTTATATTGTAATTATTATTGTAACTTCCAATTAGATTTTATAACGGAATATTTTGTTTGATTTTCTGTTTTTAATCCGAGCATAAGCTCTAGAAACCAACAAATAATTTAAAGAATATTTTCCATGAAGACAAATTATATGGCTGTTTCTTTGAGTAACATAATAATTCAATAATAATCTTATAATAACGATTTAAATTTTAAAAACAATACAATACAGAATAATAATCTGTGATAACGATCCAAAGAAAAAAAAACGCATCCTCACGTCAATAGCTCTAAAGCTACAAACAACAAACTAAAAAATTATGGGAACATTTATCCAAAAATTGAGATATGGCTTGTTAAGCTTGATGGAAAAATTACACTGCTTCAAAAAATGTTTAAGGTGTAAAGTAGATGTGACTTTGTCTAACAGCTTCTGTAAAATACTTCAAGAGAACAGATTTGCTCAATTTGAAATACCACTCTTCATATCAAACAATTCTAATTATTTATGGGCAACATAACACTGATCAGCGTGTTTGAGGTATGTGATAAAATTTATGCATTGCAGTAAAATCTAGAAAATTTTTGTTTCAACAACAAATCACATTTAATATTACAAAATAAAAAGCGTGTCCTTTAAAGAAATGCTAATTGCCTATTGGTGACCAAGAACAGTTTAAGGTTTAGAACAAATTCAACAAATTTTAAGCTTTATTGTATTATTATCTTTGGAAGTAGTAAAAAAATATGTATTTTTCTGTAAAATGAAATTTCAAAAAGTCTGGTTATTTGTGGGATAAAAATAAATTTTATCGTTTGCTATACTTCATGCAGACCGTCAAAACATTATAACTATATCTAAGCATATACTCGGTTTTAATTAATTTTACAGTATTAAAACGGTGTTTAACTGGATAGTCCTCAACCCGCATGGTTACCCTCAGTTGGGCGCTCATTGCTGCTATTGCAACCATACCCGAAAAATTAGGTTAATGCAAAACTATAGATGAATCGATAGAGCAAATGCAATCCATTTCACCCACCCCGACTATAAATTATTATTAAGCTTAACGCATACCTTAAAAACCGGTCGTATAGAATGACTAAATGGCAGATAACATTAATAAGCTGAAAGTAATAGGATCGGGGATCGGAAGGGTGGATCTAGATTGGTAGTGGTGACGATGCCTGCAGGAAAATCAGGAGTTACTTCGGATTAGTAGGGGATGTTATCGATTAGAGCGTAGGTTTAACGAAGTTTTCGGTGGAAGTTCAATGAATCTGGCAGGGTAAAGGGCAATTATTTATAAGTATGCCTCTGAGCGTCAAACATCGCCAATATTTAAGATAACTAAATACGTGGTCGATCGTTCAATACTTTATTGTTGGAACATAATATAACGGGTGTCCTTGAAATTTGAAAAAAAAAATTGAATCGGCCACGAGAAAAATTATCTTTTATTAAACGTGGCTAGTGAGCACTTACTGTTTAAAAACTGAGATAAATTGATTTTTTTTATCCTCGCTCTGTTCTGAAAGGAAAGTGTTGGGAGTATTTTCGGAAATAAAAATCCACAACTCCAAAAAGGCTTTCCCGCTTGATCTACATATTATAATTATAATAGTATATTATAACGTACCCCAGAAATAAGTTTTTTCAATATTGCAATAACTCCTATTTTCTGTTTTAAATATTTCGTTGTATCCAAAGCACACTCATAAAAAAAACCTTTCCAACAAGTAATCGCTAAATAACAGAAGG